TTTACAGCATAAGATTATTTTTAGAAAATACTTAAATTCATTTTTAAAAATAATCAAAAATCTGTTTCTTTTTTTAGATTTTTGAAAATGTTAAATTTTTGTTTTGGAAAACAAAGAATGCAATTTTTCATTCAATATATTGATTTAAATATGTGAAAAGTTTTTTATAAATGATTTTGATTTCAAGCTAAAAAGAGATTGGATTGAGAAAAAAAAGGAATTAATTTTTTTAACATTAGATCTATGAAAATTCTATATAGTACTTTATCGGAAATTGATTTTACAAAAATTAAATATTACTCTAATGCTAAATTTATTTAGGATACTCTTAAATCCATTTATACTTTTAATAATTCTTTTAAAGTTGAAAGCATTGGCAATTCATCAAATACTGAGCAACAAGAAGACACATACTTATTGACTCTTGGTATTAACTCTCTTAAACCACATGATGACTTTTTTAGATCCCTAATGGATCTAAATAACCACATGTATCACAAACCTTACCAAAAAAGTCTTGATGGCATTGATTATCAGGGGTGGACCTATGTAGTAGTCAGTGTGGGCAAATGCCCCCCCTAAAATTAAAAAATTTACATGGATATATATAGTAAATTTTGCATCATGCCCTACTCATCTCTATTTTTTTAACCCAGTGAAATTTAGTCCAAATCAAACCAACAAACTTAGCCTAAATCTAATCTTTGTAACAAAGCCCACAAAACAAAAAAAAAATGCACAATTGATCCTCACCCAAGCAGAAGGGAATCGAAATGGCAAAACCTCAATCCTCAAGAATGATTATTTCAAATAATAAAATCTAAAAAAACTTAGCTTTTAGAAATTGTGCACCAACAACCTGCTAGCCCCATACGCAAGAGAAGTAGTGGCAGACTTATAGAGGAGGAGAACTGAAGAACTGGAATTTGGAGAACTAGGGCTTCAGGCTTTAGCAAAAGAAGAACATGCCAAACTCAAGTAGGTTCTAGTTTTTATTGAATTTTCTCCTTGATTATGAACATAGAGCAAGCAGTCAAGAGCTGTGACTTGAAAAAACTTCACTTTCATGTTTGGATCTGCTGATTTGGGGAAACAAAAATCATGGAATTGGAGAGTAAAAAGAGAGGTTGAGCAGTTCAGCTAGAGAGATAATGGGACTGATTGAGGGAAGGGCAAAAAGGTTGTAGAAAAAGTGAAGTTGAGAAGGAAAAGTCATTGGAAAATGAGGGCTTCAACGTGGGAATAAAGTTATAGAAAGTTGGCCATTAATTTTTAAATAATTACTTAATAGATTTACTTTTTGATGTTAGTGCGTACTGATCGTGGAATAAGCTTCTTTTGCACATCAATATAGCATGAATTCTAAATAAATAAATCTAATTGATTGTGAGTTGCTTTTGTTTGTATTGAGAAGCTATTGTGAATCTTGAAGCAATAGATTTTAAGAATAATCGGATCATGAGACGCCTATTTTTTTAATTATAAAATTAATTTCTATTTTTAGTTAATTATTTGTTTATGATGAGATTTTTTTTTTTAGTATATTGATTATATTATTTTGATTTACAATAGGTGAATCACAAATTATTTGAATTTTGAAAAGAAAATAAAAAGATTCTTAAAAAGAAAATTGCCATGTGAGGAGCATCAATCTTCATCCATACATTATCAGTCAAATCCTCACCACCACCAACAACAAGAGAATCAATCTTTAGAAGAGTTTCCATCAAACCTAGGAAAACAGATTAAAATTTCATCCTATCATCCTAATGAGAGGGATAAGATAAGAAGAGCTTATTTACAAAAGGGACCATGTCAACCTGTTCATCATAATTTTCCTTAAAGAAGAATTAGGAAGACTTTGAGAAGATTTTATCCCTCTTGGTTTAATGAATTTGGCAATTAGTTAGAGTATAGCATAGAAAAAGATGCAGCATTTTACTTGTGTTGTTATCTTTTTAGACCTGATTTTGGGAAGCAATCTGGTGGTGATGCATTTGTTATGAAAAGATTAACAAATTGGAATAAAAAAGAAAGACTCTCATCTCATGTTGGAGGAACTAATAGTGCTCACAATATTGCTCGGAAGAAATGTCAAGATTTAGTTAATCTACTAGTAATGTATTTTTTAGTGATTGATGTGCTTAAAATTATAAAGGAAGATGGCTCAAATGCAGACCAAAGAGCTGAGGCTAATGGTCTCTTACAGTTGAGAAAAGCTTTTGATTTTGCATTTATTTTACATCTAATGAAAAATGTTCTAGGTATTTCACATGAATTGTCACAAGCATTATAAAGAAAAAATCAAGATATTGTTAATGCCATGAATTCGGTTAACATTGCAAAGAAGCGATTACAAGTTATAAGAGATAGGGGATGGGAGTCTTTATTAAATGAAGTAACTTTGTTTTACAACTTGCATGATATTGATGTTCCAAACATTGAAGACCTTTTGTTGTCTAAAGAGAGATCATGTCACGAAGGTAAAGCTCAAGGTATTATAGTAGAACATCATTACTAAGTTAAGTTATTTTATACTGTTGTGAACATGCAACTTCAGGAGCTTAATAATTGTTTCATTAAGACAAATACTGAATTTCTTCTTTACATGGCTTGTTTAAATCCAGGCAACTCGTTCTCTAGTTTTGATGAGAGCAAATTAATTGAGTTTGCCAAATTTTATTCACGTGACTTTTCTTCTGTTAATCAGCTTGAGACTTACATAATTGATATGTGTAGCAGTGTTGAATTTACATCTCTAAAGATATTAATACTCTTGCAGAAAAATTAGTTGAAATGTGAAGACATGTTTATCCACTTGTTTATCTTCTATTGAAATTGGCAATAATTTTCCCCATTGCTACAGCAATAGTAGAAAGAGTATTCTCCGCCATAAAGATTGTGAAAAATTGATTACATAACCGAATGAGGAATAAATGGATGAACGATTGCTTGGTGACATACATTGAAAGAATGTTTTTAATAGTATTGACAATGAACTGATTATTCAACGCTCTTCAAATATGAAACCACGTCGACAACAATTGTTAGGGATGTAAATATTTAATTATATATGAATTTTACATGATATTAGTATAGTTTCCTATGATATGACAATAATTATCTTTTCTTTTAAATAGATTGCCCCCACTTGCTAGAGGTCTTAAGTCTACCACTATTGATTATAATCTTATGACTATTAAGCAAGACTCTAATACCCAATGCCAAGAACATTCGAATTCCTTTTGAGAACTAAGCAAGAAGACAATAGGAAAAAAAATGAAAGACTATTGGGAAACCTTAATGGCAAGAGTCAAACACAAGCTAGGAATGACAATATGAGACCCTCGTATACAAGGACTCTCTAATCATCTGGAGGCCCTAATTACCTCCCCTTAAGCCTAACCCCTAACCATTTAAGGAAGAAGAGGTGCCTTAGAATGAATAAGATAAGAATGAAGGCTATTAGTCAGCCACCTAAGAATCGATATTTCACAAGGAATTAAGCATCACCCCCTAAACATAATCAAGAACCCTTTTGATAGGAATATGATGATGATTCCATAAAAAGGATTAAAGTAGAAGTACTTGATTTTTATGGTAGACTAAATCTAAGTGACTTCTTTGATTGGTTGGCTACTATGGATGTCTACTTTGATTGGTACAACATGAGTAACATGAAGCTTGTTCGCTCAACAAAAGTGAAGTTATAGGATCCAATAAAAAACACTAGAAGATGTCCAAGAAAACATGGAATGCCTAGGTTAATCTCCTATAAACACTTGGGTTGAGATGAAGTTGGGGGGAAAAAAAGATAAGTATGTCTCAACTAGCTACATGAGCAAATTATACAATCAACTACTTAACCTTAGGCAAATTTTTACAACATTTGAGTATGTGTCTCAGTGTGAGATAACTTGTCCGAGCCTTCTTGGATAATTATTGAAATGTTCATTAACGGCCTAAGGCCAGATTGTCCAAGGCTTCTTAGATAATTGTCGAAAGGTTCATTAATGGCCCAAGGCCAGACATACAACAAGAATTTAGGGTAACTTGCTTTAACACCTTAAAAGAAACGTATCATATATCTATGGAGATAGATTCATTATTTAGGTACTCTTATGTTTAAAGTTTTACCATGCAAGGATAGAGTACTAATAAACTCACCACCTTATCCTTACTGATCGAACCACATGATTTTTGCCTCGATCAAACTCGCAACTATCTTCTAATGAATCCTATGGTCTTAAGGTTATTACCAAATAGGCCAGTAAATCTATAAGTTCTTGCTCTCAATCTAATAGACCATCTTTTGAGTGTTTCCCTTGTCATATGATAGGGCATATTGCATCTTGTAAAGTCACACTTACTTATCCACAATTAACTCCACAAAATTAAGGTAATCACACAAATAATCCAAATGAATTATTAAATTTGTAAAATTTTTATAAATGAGATCTCAAGTTTTCAAAACTTAAAATGCTGTAAAATCAAAGCAAAACATGTATATAGAACTATAGGCATCATAAAAGGTAAGATAACATTAAATTAGGGTCAAAATATAAAAAAAAACTAATTTCGACATAATTACACTACATCATAAAATTTTATACTGCGGCATAAACAGCAAAACCCTGTCATGGCAGATTTTTTGGAAAATTTTGATGCGCACCAAATCTTCATCTGACGTCCAATTGAGGTGATCTAAGTGTCTATAAAAAGCTTTCTCTGAGCTTTAACTAATTGCATTGGTTTCACATTCAAAGTATTTCTCAATTAAAAGTTCGACACCAAAAAGAAAACTCACACTTTTATGTTTTCAAAACATAACTAAAGTGTCAAAAAATCAATTTAAGTGTCAAAAGCATACCAACCCTTAAAGCTCAAGGGACTATAACAAATTTGTGCAATACACCACAACATTCAAATAACGCCTATATCACAATTTCATCAATAAACCCCTTGATCACAAAAACATAAGGGGGAGTCAAAACATATAATTTCACATCTAAATTATCATTATTCACAAATATACTCACTTCTTATTTACATAAATATTTTGACTTTGCATAAATATCTCAATAAAAAGATACCACACGTACTAGAGTCTAAAATACACATTGAAATACTCAATATTCAATGGTACAAGTATAACAAAATTTGAACATCCTAATTGACAATATCAATTAATTATATATATATGCAATTAAAATTACAAGAGGCCTACAGTAGGAAATCGAGTTTCCAAGCCTCTAATGCTTTCCCTTTGTCCTGCTCGAAAATAGTACCTCTAAAATGTTAAATAGAAAGGTGAGTACAACCACTTTGTAACCAAGTTTCACCTGATTTATACAGTTACATATCAATTAAAAATAGATGAAATTGGCAATAAACACATAGATAAAGCATGTATGACAACGTATAGTCTCGACCACAACAATAACAACTATGTGCCTGAGTTTCAAACACATAATCATATATATATATATATATTAATGCACAATCTGGGGTCGTAATAATACCAACCATGCACCCCTAAACTGTACTGGATCACAATTCCAACAACCATATAGTCGGGACTAAATGCATGATTATATGTGAACCTTATACCCTCCTGTTACGTCTGACAGAAAATCAGTGGCTATTTGGTGGCTATGTCTTTCATGGATTAATCCAGTGTTTCATTTGTGAAGAGTTACCAAGCCAAGGTCAACTCACTCACTTGTATAATCTGATTTATCTTAATACTAATAAACATGGGGTGTCATACCCCTATTCCAACCTCTTCATGAACAGATGGAGATTAATTAGGTTCTAGTCTCTTATTGAACAAGTGGGATAGTCCCGAATCAACTATGAGACAAAGGCTACCTCTTGATTCTAATAGTCAGTGTTAAGGCAAGCTCCAAATTCCAACAATCACTGCCAATACCAGGTGGGTTAAATCAACTACTCCTCTCCTTAGGTAAACTCCTGCTAATGATCACATGTATATGTATTATAATCAACCATTCATATCACAAATCTAAGTATTCATACTCACCCAACTCACTCCAAGCACCAACTAGTACATAATCACATTTTCTCATTCATCATCACTATTAACATGTATATGAATTTAAATATAATTTGCAATAATAATACATCACCAGCCATGCCAAATTTACATCATAAGTTTAAAAATATTAAATATATTTCAAGTCAACTATTTCAACAAACAATCAATTAATATTCAACTATATACACTAAGATTTCTATAGTCATCTCAAACCTTTAAGATGTCAAAGATTATCCTTTAATCATAACTTACTTTCTAAGCTAAATTCAAGCTCACCAGTGTTTTATGAGGTTAGCCTACAATTACATTAACACCCATCATTGATAATCATTAAAATTACCACTTTCAATATCTAATTTCATACTTTAATAACTAAATTTCTCAACTACAAGAGTAATCCTTACATCCAATGAGTTCCTTTACTCCCATTGACTTTATTTAGCTCTTAACAACTTAAATAATTACTAATATATCATCTAAAAATCCAAAATATCATTAATGTCATAAATTACTCATTTTCAACTTCCAAATTTAAACACTTTAATCATCCAAAACTCTTAACTCTTAAGTTTAATCATCACATTAGGTTCATTAACTCTCATTAGCTCTAACTAATACTAACATAATCCTTAATCAACATAAATAGAAGCCACCTACCTCAAAGACTACCATTTTTGGCATTTAAATACACAAATTCGTCCATAATTGAGAGCCCACACTCATAGACGCATAAAACCACTATCTCTAGGCTTAGATAACTCAAACAACTCTCATTAATTCTATTTAAGTTAATGGATTCAGACCCAAAGCATCTAAGGTCTAAAAATCATCCTCCAACTATAAACCCTAACTTAAAAATGGTGTAGAGAGGAAGAGGAATGGTAAGAGAGGCTTACCTTAGTAATTAGAAGCTTTAAATCATACCAAAACATCAGCAAAATCATGCCCTAGCAAAAAAAATCACAAGCCCCTTTGTTTTCCTCTTTTTCCTCTATTTTTCGCACACACAGATGCTCTAACTTAGGATGCTTGAACGTTGTAAGAAGTACAACACTTGCCCAATTAGCTGAGAACTATTTGATGAGAACTAGCATCTTCCATAATTTTTGTGTAATATGGGGAACATATGCGTAAACTAATAATTGATAGAGTTAACATGAAAAATGTGATCTCTAATAGTGGAGTAAGTAACTTTGGCCTCATGCCTTGAACTAGAGCCTCATCTTAAACCATTTCGTCTGGCTTTGATAAATTCATCATCTATTTTTATTACTCAACAATACAACCTTCCCCTTCAATTAGAAAAGTATCAAGAAGAAATCCTTTGTGATGTGTTCCTTATGAATGTAGCCCTCATAATTTGAGGATGCCCTTGGCTTTATGACTATAATGCTACCAATTGCAAGCATCCTACAATTGAGCCCAAGCTTAATGTGTTCCCTATAGATGACACTCATGATCTATGAACAATTTGTCCAAACCTTCCTGGATAACTACTAAGGAACTAAGACACACATCCTAAACCTTTTAACAAGTAGACAATTGAGCCCATTTATTGATCAACCCATTTGCAAGAACCCTTTCAATAATGCTTATAGTTTTTATCCCAAACAACCTCCTTATCCTTTACCTCTCCATTTAATAGCTCATACCCTTAACTCTATTAAACCCTTTGCCCATCACATTCACAAATTTCATGTTGAGGCGTAAGTTAGAACTAAGTAATGAGGAGTATATATTAGGTAGTAATGCACATTGTTGTTCTCACAATTTTGCTATTGGAGAATACATTAGGCCTCACTGATGCCAACTCCCAAATCACTTGCCAAAGAAGTATGTCAAGAAGTTGCATGCTTGTGTTTCTGACCCTTTTCACATTGCTAGGAAAATAAAACCCATTGTTTGTTTATTAAAGTTATCTCCAGATATGTCTATCAATTTGATATTTTATGTTGAAGATCTTATTCCTTACCAAGATACTTTTGAGCCACCTTTTTTGCTTTATGTTGATCCTATGGGTACCCAAAGCCACTGTGTTCCAGTTCAACCATGGGCGATTATTGTAGCATTAACCTAGGCCATTGATGTTGTCTAGGATGAAAAAACAAGTTGGGATCTAGTAGGTCCCATCCATCGTTACCTCGTTTGTTGGAAAAGTCGTTTTGCCTCATATACAACATGGATTTCTAAGGAAGAGTTTCATAACACAAACTCCACTTTATGCCATAATTACCATCTATTTACCTCTCTAGTGGAGAGTTCTTTCAACCTAGGGAAATGATAAAACAATATATGATTTGATTTAATATTTAGAGTTTAGAGTTATTTAATTTAATATCTAGGGTCTATTTTTATCTTTAAGTATTACTTCAAATAAAATAATATATCTAGACCAGCTATATATACTTTATTGTCATCATTTAGATAGATTATAATATATATATATATATATATATACTTCATTGTCATCATTTAGATAGATTATAATTTGAATTTAGTATTTTATTATTATTTTAATATTTCTAAACTCTATAAATAGAGTTAGGATTCCTCATTTATATTCAAACTAGATTTCCAGTATTGAATAAAGAGTTCTCATTTTCCTACCTCCTATCTTTATCAATCTCTTCACCTATCCTCTTCCCATTTCACATCACATATACTTGGATGTCTCTTTCCCCTGTAGGAGAGTCCAAAAAAGTACTTGCTAGCATGTGTTAAAATGAACTTGATCTCTTTCAAACGATCTGCCTATTCAATAATTTTGATTTTGAGTTCTCCATCCTCAACTTCAAATGATTTGTCTTTCCATCCATATTTAGCTTAATTGCTGCCATCGAACGTGCAGCTTTGATGTTAGGGCTCCAATTTTTTAGTATTCATTCGAAAAGTCAGCCCCCTAATTTTGATTTCTTTAAATATTTGTTTTGAATTATGAAGCACTAATACTTCAAAAGAGTAAATGAACTCGCGGATGATACATATTCAATACGATACACGTCTTGTACTTCAGGATATGTATTGAACGTTATAACATTTGTATTACAATTTTTTTCAATAAAACATTTCTATATTGTAAAATTTAATATATTTTTTTATACATTACTTCAAAAGTACTTGCTTAAAATTCAAGATAATTACACTTGCATCCTAAAACTTTAAAATATAATACACACACTCATACCTGTATTTAAAATTTTGAAATTTATCGTATCTACTGTATTTGATACATGTATCTGTATTGATGCTTCTTAAATTCTAGGATATTGGGATTGTTCTGGCTTGGAATTTTTTTAATGTAATTTTCTTTTATATAAACTCAACTTAATTACAGCAAGATAAAATGAAGTTTTTGGAATGTAATAGATACAAACATACAAAACAGGGAAACAAAGGTAAATCACACCGAGGAAATAATGAAAGTATGAAAGAGCCCAAATATTATTTTATATGCTACTGAGTCAAGAGAAATCAAGGTTCTTCTTTTAAAAAAAATTGGTAAGGATATTTCTGTATTTTCATAATGTAAACACACTAAAAAAATATATTGTGCATACATTTTTTTTATTTAGAAGTGATAAAATTAATAAAAATGTGATTACAATTAGTTTTAAGTAGACAACAAGACTGGCTCTTGTTATCATCCATTACCTCTCTACATTAAGGTAGGGGTTAGAATTGAATTTTCCATTCCATAACTCCTTTAAATGTCATAACACCTTCAATTCCCTTCAATCCCATAAGATCCACATAATATCTATTGTAACCCCCTTTTTAATTAGTTTTAAATGCATTCTCTAAAAAATGACTTCTGTGAATCACTAAAAATAAGGCCATTATCATTGTCTTTGTAGTTAAACCCAAGAAATATATTTATCCAGAAAAAAAAAAGAATCAAGAAATAAAATTCTCGTTTGTTTTATTGTAGTAAGTGTGCGTCTCTTAGAGCCAAGGGTTCTCAAGAAATATTGAGGTGTACTTGTTTGATTTCTCCACTCTATACCCTTGAAGTTTTATGTCCCATTTGTAATAATAATAAAAAAAAAAATCTTCTATTTGATAAAATGTCTTGTGTAAAAGAAGTGAATTATAGAATTCTGCGGTAGGTCTTGTATTGGATAAACTTGCAAACTCTATATCCATTTTCCTAACTTAAGAGTGTAAGAAATAGAGAGGACGAAAAATAGTGCATATATTCTGGCAAGAAAAAAAAATAATTAGTTCTTATTTAAAAAATAAAAGAAAAGAAAGGTTGCCTGCTCAGACGAGTCCATTTTCCACAGCAAATTGTTCTTCAAAAAGCCTCCTCCTTGCATCGATGGCCTGCACATTCACAATATCAGAGTCAAAACAAAATGCTTTCATAATCTAAACCATTTAAACGATTAAACCAGATCATTACTTGTAAATAGTGTGACCCATTATTCAAACCTTATAACGTGCACTAGAACCCACCTAATATGTAAATCTAGCTAAATCTTATTCCCAATAATTTGAAACTTCCAAACGAAAAAAATGAGTGTGTTTACCTTCTGTTTCCAATTTATACGGCATGTAATGATTGAAAGAAGAACAGTTTGCACGAAACAGCCAAATTGAATGCCAATCCAAAGGCCTTTTCCTCTCATCTTTACCCAGAAACTCAATATGCCAGCCACTGGAATGCCACAAAGATAGTAGGCTCCAAGGTTGATGTAAGCCCCAATGTGTTGCCATCCACATCCTCTAGCAATCCCTATTCCAAAACACAAATACAAACACAAAAATAAGAAAAGGGTCTAGTTTTCTTTCATGTACTTTACTTGTTAAAGTTAGGTTTATTTACCCGTGAGAACACCTTGTAAGCCGTCCAATATAACAGAAACACAAACCAGAGGAGCCATGACAGCCACATAGTCAATAACTTCATTCTCATTGCTGAAAATATAACCATAAAGACGACGACAGAAAAACAGGGTTGTGCTTATGACTGTTGTCTCTAACACTGCTAGTGACATTGATGCTACCACGGCCACTCGTGCAGCATCTGGATTCCCTGCTCCTAGTTCATTTGAAATCCTTGTACTGTAGTGTAGTCAGGAATAAGAATATAAGATGCACAGCATTAGTATATATCCTTCTACTTAAGGGTGATTTTGTTGTTTTGCTACCTTGCTGCAGCACCAATTCCATAAGGAATGGTGTAGAGCGTAGAGAGGGTGTTGAGGCTGCAAAAGGAGGATTACAAAGTTAGAACAGTCACAGTATTGAGATTTTTGAAATAATGTCACGAGAGAAAGTTTGTGGCAAAAGAAAATTGCAGATAATTAGTCTCAGTTTCTGAAACGTACCATACTGATAGAACTGAAGTTTCAAGTTGTGGATTTGGTAATAGCCCTGACGCCAAGATTAGCAGCTCAAATGACCACCATTCTAGGCTAAAGATAGCAGTCAATATGAAGATAGAACACATATAATCTAGAAATAAGGCCATGAAATAAAAAAGATAAAAGAAAAAATAAACTTACCACATCATAACTGCAGAAGGGACAGCAAACCTCAAGAACTCCCCAATTCCTCTGAATAGGTCCATGGAAATAGGAGCTCTTGTCTTTTCACAAGTGGTAGAGTGTGTCATGTATAATGCAAGAACAATCACATTTGCCCATATACAAATATCAATTGCCAGTGCTGCACCAACACTGTTAAGCCCAGACTTGAACACCAAAGCCCAACAAAGTGGGATATCAAGAATAAGAGTGGTAGAAGAGCTCATAAGCATGGGAATAACCAAGCTTTGCATTTGGTAATATCTGATTAGAGGTTGCAGAAATGCAAATCCAAAAAGTGAAGGAACAAGCCAGGTTGTGAACCTTCCTGCTTCATGTGAAATCAGAGGATCCTGACCTATGAAAACTAGGATCTTTTCCATGTAGATCCAAACGAGAGATAGTGGAACACAAACAAATATGAGAGAAAATATGGCAGTGTATGTTAGCATTCCTAGTTTTTTATACTGCTTAGCTCCATATGCTTGCCCACACAGAGTTTCTAGCCCGCTTGCCATTCCCACCTGTTTGGTATGTACAGTGACCAATGAATTAGTTAAAACTTAAAAGCAAATTCCAGCCAGGTATGAAATGGTAGTAATCTCAATTTAAAGGAGTCACTAATGTTTAAGGTGAGGAAAGTAATGTTTATCTTGAACTAGCTTACATGTAACGGAAAAAGAATTCATGAATAAAACAAACAAAATCTTCTATTCTTTGAGTATGTGAAGAGCCGGCCTTAGAGAGCTTACGACTTTGGAGATCGTCCTGGAATGAGATTTTTTGATAAATTATAGCTATGAGTATGATATAATATTTAATCCAAAATTCTTGGTTATTTTGAGTGTGCACCAAATTATTTCCATTTTCCATGATTTTTGGACTGTAGACATCACACAATATCTATCCCCACTGATTAAGGTTGGCAATGTTTTAATTGTATACGTCAATCACTTGGAGACTCTGTTCACATAAATTTTTGGGATGGTGAGGAAAAATGATCATCACAAGGACATAACAAGGCCAAGCAATCAGCATCATTTAGGCGCAAGGTGCCCGATGCGGCTGATTCAACGAATAATATTGAATCATACAGTTTTTGGCACAAAAAATAAGTAATGATACAGTAGCAACGATAAAACGACAAACGGTCAATTCTCAAGCGCCCGCCATGGTAGAAAGTTCCGCACGGGACCAACAAAATGAGAAAGAATCGAAAGCACAAGACTGCAATAGAAATTAATGCTCCCCCTTTATTTTTAGCGAAGATGATCGAAGAATGGAACATAAATGAAACCAGAAGATAGTGAACATAATAAAAGGACGAGGTTAATGAGAAGCGTACGAGAAAACTGTAACCGGTGACGGTGGCGATGGACATGGCTAAGGCGGTGCCGGCGAGAGAGAGCTCATCGAGGTGACCAACCATCATGATTGAAATAATCTGAAGAAAGAACTGGGAAGAGAGAACAGGAATGACAGGTCCTGCTATGTAACCGATTCTCTTCACTTCTTGACTCCAACTGATCCATGTGATAAGCTTCTCTGGTTTCTCCTCTCTGTCTTTTGCTAGTAGACTCTCTTCCATCTCTTCTTCTTTCTTCTTTCCGATAAGCCTTTACACTCTCGGAGTCACCGTTCTTACCGAGAAGAGAAAGAGACAGAGAGAGCGAGAGAGGGCCAGAGGACTGAGTCCTGATTTTTCGCTTTCGGTATGATGGCTGTGCTGCAAGGATATACCATAAAGTTATAAGCCTCATAGGGGTGTGTTTGCAGTTTGTCAAATCAAAAGTTGTTTTTCTCGGAGTTCTTTTTAATAAACTAAAAGTTACTCTCTGATTAATATAAAAATCAGTTGAGACTATCCTCAAGTCATATTTAAAAAAAAAAAAAGTTATTTAAAGTTGCATTTAAAAAAATTAGTTAAACTTCAAAAAAACTTTCACATCAGTATGATAATACTAACATCTGACGGTGGAATCACACTTCAATTTGATTTGTTGCATCAAATAATACTTCAAAAACCTCTTGCTTGGATTAGCAGATCAACTCTAATAATTTTTTTACATTGATTCAAAGTTTATTAAGATCTCTTTTTTTTTCCTTGTTTCCATCTTTTTTTACTTTCGAACTACTGTACTTTTGCTTTCTTTTTTTTTTTTGCTTTACTGAAAAAATGCATTCATAGTTAAAATAATGTAATATTACAATAATAACATATGGCTTACTAAATTCCTCTTATGATCCATCATCTCTTGTAATAAAAGTGAAGGATGATCAAAGATATAAAAATTAATATCTAATCTATAAATATTAAAGTATTTACTAACATAATGAATAAGTATGCTTCGATTCTTATTAAACAAAATGAATATCCTCTGTTACATCCTGAAAGGGATTCTTTTCTTTTTAATATATTGATTCTTTTTATTAAAAAAAAGGATAAATACCGAAACAAAATTTGTGTTTCAGATGGTTGGTTTATGCGTGCCCGTGAGAATCCTGATGGTGTTGGTGAACTGAAAGCAGCACATCGTCTATTGAACGTGTTTGCTTTGTGTAATTGTGTGGACGAAGGCTGGCTTGTGGGCCATAATTCAATTAATATAAAATAAATTTAGAAAAAACTAGGGCACTCCCCCGTGCAATGCACGGGGTATAGTTGACCTTAATTATTTTAAAAAATAATAGATAGAAACCTATAACTTGTAAAATTAATTGAACCAATAGCTTGTAAAATTAATTGAATAAAAGAAATTTGACTTTTTTCAGAATAAAAAAAATGCTATAAGAATAAATAAATTTTCAATATCATACACATGAATAGTTGTGCTAAAATAACTTTCCAAACATTCTTATTACACTTTTGTATAATAATTGTCTGGTTTTATTGGCCACAGATGTTCTACCATCTTTTCTTCTTTAGGCACATCCCAACCTGGACCTCCAGATTGTAAAAGTTACACTTAGATATGCATCAGAGAGTGCATTGCCGTGAGCTCAGTGAAACTAACCAAACATATCAGTACCAAATTCATACAGTCTAAACCTTTACTACAAGGAGTTAATAATTGGGGCTTTTCCAAAGATATCATTTCTAGCACTATGTATCTTGGCTCATTCTCAAGTTATAAGCATTACAACCTAAATATGAGTTCGCTAATTCACTTGAAGTAAAGAAATAAAAAGCATCAACTATAAAAGTAAACCATGAAGACTTAACAATTGGTTCAATTGGCCAAAATTTTAGATGCAATGTAAGAAAATACTCAACAATGTTATAATATAATAAAAAGAAATATTTCACCAATATTCTCAATAGTGAGAAGCTTTTGCAAAGCGTCGATTTGTTGATCTCTCAAAATCACTACATGACTATATTCATGATCCTAATTTACACAATTAAAAGAATAAATATTAACATGTAGGCAAAGAATGGCCAATTCCTGCTTCCATGTTTTGTAGACTAAATTAATATGACCAATTGCTACACCCATATTTTTTAAAATTATTAAATCAATCAAATTCTACCACAAAATAAAGAGAAAAACTAATTCATTTAAAATTTTAGGAGTGGACATAAGAGTAGAGGGTCAACAAAACACCAATGTCAATGCCTATAATGTGGTGTTGACATGCTTTGCATTAGAGAGACAATAACTCAAGCCAATTGTAATAAGTACGAAAACACAAAAAGTCACTAAGTTTCAAGCATACAAGAGAGAGAATTTATGTAACTTCCCTTTCAATTCGATAACTAAATTTACTATATAATTATATCTAATATAACTTCAAGATTCAAACCAAAAATTTCATAGAACAATAAATTCAACACCAAGTAGTGAGAGAGTTACCTTCAGTTTTCGCCAATATAAACATCAACATTCAGCCAACAAACCATTGTTTAGGAAGGCTTTCAAGCTTTGATACGCAAGTGGACCCTTCAACCTAAAGCTTCAACCAATAAGGTGAACCATGACAATTGTAATGCAGCAGCCACAATTAATAGAGGATGGTTAATTGCCACTTTGTTAGGTGGGCCCTTTGCACCTCCAATGAGAATTTCCACACTGAATTAGCAAATGCATTTAAAAGTTAAAACTATCAAGAGTGCTTCTCAAAAACTACTACTTAGTGGAAGCAGGGAAACAAAATATTTACTTGTAGGACTCCCTAGTTGACAAAATTGTGGTCCCTTTCCTCCCAATAACACGTCCCATCTTTCCTTAGGGAACATCAAGAACCAAAGGGATTTCTCCCTTAGGAATATCTTCATCATCTATCAACTTATCTAATAAATAAGCACATGAATTCGTAATTACTAAAATAATTAACTATAAGTTGTTTATTCCAGTAACATCTATCAGCTTGCTAGAGACAACAGCTTAAATAAGAAAGCTAAAAATCATATACTTTCTGGCCTCTGTAGTTTAAATCTAGAATAAAGAGCAGACATAAGTTCAACTAAAAGAAAAACCTATTCTTGTGAACCTAGAAGAGTCATATCATAGAAAATGGATCTATGGAAGGCAAATTTTCCACCAGGAAACCGAAACCTAACCTAAATGGGATTCATGATTCGGGTCTTATTTCATGTTCAATAGCAACCCGCCAGGGAAATTTCAGCACATTAGAGTCTATAATAAATAAAAATAAAGATTACAACTTTTCCAAAAGTCAAAAACTTATTTGCCAACTACCTACTCTAAATAAACTCATACAGGTTGAGTTTCCAGGAATCGGGTGAAACATACTTGGCAATTAATTGGATAGATTCAAAATTCTTTATGTTAGAGTAATAATGGAAGGCATGCGTTGTATATAAAGCTTTATTGCAAAATTAGTGATCAATGTAATACGATATGGAAGTGAGAGTTTGAGCAAGGCTAGCAATATGAATCATTTGTATGTTACAATAAAAACAACATTGCTCCGTTCCGATAATGGAATGCAAGATACTATGCTACCACTGAAACATGCTTGTTCATTAATTAAAAAGAACCAAATGACTGTACCATATGTATTGCATTTATGAACGAATATCTCATCTCTAGATCTAGAGGAAGAAATTGCTACTCTTATCCTAACAAATCAATTTCATATTCACACAAACTCCACAAGCTACACGTGTAATGAAGTTCGCGTAAAAGACACAAACTTAGGAACAATATCTATACATCACGTATATGGATGATTAATTAATTGAGTATAAATATAAAGGATGAATCTGGTGTATTCCTCTTATAGGTCCAAATTCGAAACCTCAGACACAAAGGAACTTGTAATGGATGTTTCATTACCACAGTAAATTCTTCTTTCTCTGACAAATCAACATCGTCACAAGCTTTCCATTCGAATTTCCATACAAGATTGGCCACATAGAATTCCAAATGGAGCGGCGCTAATGCATAACCTGGACACATTCTTCTCCCAACACCATAAGGCATCATCTTTATCTCTCTACTTCTTGTAATATCAAATGTTTCACCATTATTATCATTATTTTTCTCGGTGCTCAAGAATCTCTCAGGCTTGAACTCCATTGGATTCTCCCACACCTTCTGGGTCCCACCCCACCTCTGCCACCATAAAATTCAAAGACCCATTCTTGGGCACCAAGTAATTGTTTTACACCTTGTCCTTTGACACAGCATGTGGCATTTTGCTCAGATCTTCTTCTCTCACTTCCTTGTTCTCTCTCTCAACCATTACATCTCTTGTTTCATCCACAAGCCTATGTTGAATTTGTGGGTACTTCACCAAACTTGCCAGAGTCCATTGTAATGCAGTAGCAGTTGTCTGTTCCTGTGTCTAGAAACTCTGAACATATTGAAACCATTTCACCTTGAAAACACCTTAACCATCAAATCATACCATTACCTGGTCAAAGATCATCAATGACAGTATAAAATTTAAAATGAAAAATCCCAATGCAAAATAAAATCTATATGCATCTAGAGGCAATTAGCACTATAGTTCTCCATTTGGAGATACGGTTTCAAATTATAGAACACATATATTTATACCTGGAATAGCAGGTAGAGATGGCCAGTCAGCATAATCATTTCTGTTGACACAAAAGCATCGACAACAGAGGGTACCACGAACTATAAGACACCATAGAGACCGCCCATTTAATTTCTCCATCATCCGATGACAAATGTAGAGAAGAAAGCAAACATCATTAGCAGCTGTACGGACCATTATTTCAAATAATGGTCTGTTTGTCCAAACTTGGGGTCCTGACAACATTAAGAAACAATATACATAGAGAGTAAATGATTCATAAAATAAAGCAAAAAATACAAGTCTTACCTTGTATTGGATATAAAGCCTGGGAACAGGGTGGTCGAAATTTATCACAAAATGAAGCAACGCCAATCATAAACACACCGACTGCCGAGCGGCAAGGAAACTGGGAGAAGGCAGAAGGCGTCGAATGTAGAAGGAACTTCAAGAGCGGCGGAAGATCAAACATAGATCTGTCAAAGTGAAGGGTGAGCAGCTGCAGAGGCTTTTCTGTCGTCACCGTTGTCATCCGAGGAATTTTGACAATGGGTGGTTCCTTGTTCTTCTTCTTCTTCAGTCAAATGCCATGGTGAAGAGCTTGATCCCACTAAGCGATTATGGACTCGTCTTACGATAGAGGAAGAAGATTGTAATTCGAGGAATTTTGATAATGGATAGTTGCAGAGTTTGATGCTAGCCTGGGTCCAATCCACATAGAGCTCGGCGCTAGAGTTGATGCCAATGGCTTGAGTGAGGAGGTCAACGGCAAGCTCATAGTACTCATTGACAAAAGCCTCTTTTGGCTTTGGCCTCAAGATCGGAAGCCATGGAAGGCCAAGCGTCGGCGGAGAAGAAGTGGAAAGAAAACCAGAGGGACACCCCACCACAACTCAAACGGCACCCCTCACTTGGCATTAAAAAAAAAACAAAAAAAGGCGCCCAGACGTGCATTCAAATTTCTCCCGTGGTAACACGAACTGCCAACACCCGGGCAAGAGAAATTTTGAAGAAAAAAGAAAAAAGGAAAAAAAAAAAATTTGAAAGCACGCCAACTCACTTGGAAAGGAAACAAACGCGCAAGAGACTACTGTTCAATTACTGTTCACTTGAACTTCCCAAACAGGGTATTTGAAGATCTCTTGTTTTTTTTCCCCCTATTTTACTTTCGAACCACTGCACTTTTGCTTTCTTTTTCTTTTTTACTGAAAAAATATATTTATAATTAAAATAAGATTACATCAATAATATATAACCTACTGAATCACTTTCATCATCTATCATTTTTTATAATAAAAGTGAAAAAAGATCAAAGATATAAAAATTAATATCTAATCTATAAGGCATCTTAATAAAATAATTAATATAAATATTAGAATATTTATTAACATAATAAATGAGTATGTTTTAATTTTGGTGAAATAAAAAATGAATATCCTCTCTCTCGTCTTGAAAGGGACTCTTTTCTTTTAATATATTGATTCTTTTTATTAAGAAAAAAAGATAAATACCGAAACAAAATTTGTGTTTCAGATGGTTTGGTTTATACGCGCCCCTGAAAATCCTGATGATGTATCGGTGAACTGAAAGCGAAACTTTGTCCATTGAACGTTTTGCTTTGTTTAATTGTGCGGAGGAAGGCTGTCTTGTGGGCCATAATTCAATTAATATAAAATAAATTTAATAAAATGACAATCAGGGACCTTGTCATTAATTAATGATAATTGAAAATCTTAAAATATTTAAATATCAGAAACGACCATCATTTTTAATTTATAATTAAAATATTTCTATTTATCAAAATAATCAATAAAATGCCACCATGAATTTTAGAAAATTTAGTTATGAATTTAAAGGATATTACTTGTAAATTTTATGAAAAATCAATTAGAATTGATAGATAATTTTATGAATATATATATATATATATATTATTGCTTGTAAATTTAAGCACGAATTTATAGAAAGTAAATTGGGAATAGATATTTAAAATTTGAGAAGGTCCCTTAATTATTGATTTATAATATAACTATTTATATTCATTTACAATTTAGGAATATATATTTACAAGTAACATTTCTTAAATTTATAATTAATTATCCTAGAATCACAAGTAATGTATAAATTTATACAACTATTTATTTATTTCACAACTGAATTTTCATAAATTCATTATTAACTTTCATAAAATTTATAAGTGATTATTCTTAAATTTATAAGTGACAATGCATAAATTCATAAACTAGCTATTCATTCACAATTGTTTTAAGCCTAAATTCATTCACAATTGACTGTTCATTGATTCAAATGTAAGATTACTTAAATTCATGAGCCACATTTCATTAGTTATTTTAATAATTTTTTTAACTTTGAACAAAGATCATGGTCCTTCCATGACATTTAGATAATTTGATATCTTTAATTGTCATTAATATTATTATGAGGTCTATAATTGTTATTTTTTCATAAATTTAATTAATTTCATGCTTATTAATATATAATAATTATATTCTTATTTCACCAAAAAAATAATTATATTTTTAAAATAGTTAAAAAATTATGTAACTTCTAATATTACATGTCTTCGTAATTAATAATCATATTAAATTGTTGGTAAGGAATTCAAACAATAATAAATAAAAATTGAAATAATTAAAAATTAATTACTCTAATTTATTCTTATGTTACAAAGAAAAAAAATTCAAAATTTGTTTTATATCAAGGAGTGGAAGAAATAAATAATATGATAAAATGAATCTTTCGATATTGTAAGTTTGTCATTGTTATTGTTTATCAATAGTTGAATAAGCAGTCATCATCATCATCATATATATATATACACACACACACACGCACATTGAATGAGAATGTGGCAACCAAATAATAAATGTGAAGGACCAAAGTGGCGACAAATCATTTATTGCTTTTAGTTCTTATATATTAAAAAAATAATTGTAGAATAAATGCAGAATAAAATGACAAGTTATATAATATAATGTAATGTAAAGGGTAACCAATAATAAAATAATGTGTGTGATGATAAAATAAGTTATTGTTCATATTGTTAATGTGCATGAGGAAACAAATATACTTACCTCGCATATCAAATCTATTATTAATATAGCAAAGTCTTGCACAACTAGAAAATACAAAATCTATAACTAATTAGTAAAATTTGTCATTAATTTTGGAGTGAGTAACAGATTGTTTGTCACTAATTTTCATTAAAAATATGACATCATTAATTTAGTGATAAGAATGAATCTGTCACTAATTTATGATGAAAAAATATCACCAATTAGTTAGTAAACTTTTGTTATTAATTTATTTTATAATTAATTTTTTTCTTCCAATCATTACTATGTCATCTCTTAAGTACAAATCACTTGCTACCTGTGTAACACCCCAACTTTACTAATTAAAAAAAATTAATCAAATATCATGAAAATAAAAATCTAAACTAATAAAAAAAATTACCATGATATAAAGATTTAAAATCAATTCTTATTTATTTTGAAAAGATGATCACGATAGAAAAGAGCTAATCTATATTTTAGGAAACTACCATGGTTATTAAAATTTTATATACTAAATAGATATTTAAAATCTAGCATTAGTAAAAATAATTAAACTAGTTAAAAAGGCTTTGAAGATTATAAAAGTTTGCACTTACTATTTAAAATCATAAATAACATTCTATCATGGTAGATAGAAAGGAACAAAAAAATAAATATTTCATTAAACAAAAGTCTGGATACTCAAATGTTTACTTCAATAATTGTCTCGATACTTAGAATTTTATATTAAAATATTTACTCTAAATAGATACATTAAGCAACTTTTATGGCTTTAGATATCAACTAACAATGCCATTTCCCGTTATCAATAAATAAAAGTCAATTTCAAAACTCAACTCAAATGATAAATGAATCTTATACTGACAAATGATTATTCTACAAATTAAAATGAGACTTAAAACTTACTTAAACTAAGCTCCAAGATTCTAGACGCTTCCTTTTTACTCTATTAAGCTTATCTAAAGTGTTAAAGAGAAGGGTGAGTACTAACATCTTAGTAATCCAGAGTTTAACCATATATGCGCAAACTACAACCGCATAATTATACAACCAACATATAAGTGAGTGCATAAGAATTATTCAATTATAATATAAGAATTTAATAGGATATAACTCATAACATGTCAATATGTAATACCAATAATCTCCCTTATTACTCCATCCATCCCTATTCCGTTGATTAGAACCATAAACTTAAATACACTCTAACCCATATATTGAATTGATCAAGTTTCTCTAGTGTTTGAGATAAACCCAGCTAAAGGTACAACGCTTGAGTCAGACTATGGCTCTCCTCCTTGAAAAACCTCAACCAAGAAGTGTCATTGTTCCACATTCATTGTTCCACATTCCTCCTTTACAAACTGTTAGGTAAGCATTGAGGAATAGGGCTTTGAAGAAAGCCAATCATTGTGCGCACAGTGAAGGCAAATCACGTGGTCACTAAATTATATATACATCAACATCATCATCTCCTCATCAACTTATCCCCCAATGCATTTTGCACATATACAACATTTACATCGTATACAAGCATGTTTGAAAAAAAATAAATAAATATCACATTCGATCAACTCAACTTACAAGCATGTTTGAAAGAAATAAACTATTTTTAAATAATATATAATTTCCATCAAACAAACATTATTAATCTGCATTCACAAGCATTCTTAAAAAGAAACACCAATAATAATATATAACTAAGCTACAAGCATGCTTGACAAGATTCGAGTAATATATAGATTTCTCACAATTAAATTTATAATTATACACATTGTTGTCAAACAGAAAGCTTGCATGCATACAAAAAGATCCCAAGTTACTTGTTCTCTTTGAGCTAACAAGTAATCTCACAATAAAAATTCAAGCAAATAAAAACTCTTAGTGAGATTCTACGGAAATCACATACATACAAAAATATTAAAATACAATTTAAAGTTACTAAATATTATTATTTTGAGGTGACTTTAAAATTACTCTAGGACCTTAAAACTATTCTAAAGGACTTCAAAATTTCTCCTTTTTTTAAGACCTATGTCCCTTTATAATTTAATTAATTTGTTAGATTAGTTTGAGCTCATGTTAAACTTTAATTATATAAATTTTTCAAATTAAATATTTAAGTTTTAATCTATATTTTTATTATCTAAAATAGATATAATGTTATACGATGCCTTTATAATAGTATCGCGTGACTAGGAAAGTCATAAAGGAAGTTAACATTATTATATTATGTATGTATATAATATATGTATATAAGGTGAAAATTATTCAAAAGAAAAGGACGAATGAGGAAGAAGGACTATTATTACATATGTATATAACTTAAAGGCTAGAGTAAAGAAAAGAACAAACAATAAGGAAGGACTTGACCAACCTTATTCACCATATATATGTATAAGACACATGAGGAGAAAACCGAAAGAGATGGGAGGAAAGACAGAGAAGGATGCCCACGAGAGCTCTTGAATAAAACTAAATAAATATAAAGATAGAGTTTTCACTAAATGTATAAATTTAAATTTATAGTAATTTTTTTCATTATTGTTATTATTTAAATACATATATCTTTAAAGATAATTCAAGATGATCTAATATATAATAAAACTTAACAAAACTATTTGACTACTATTATTTAAATTACTTTTTTTAAGTTAGTTTCAAACATTTTTTAAAATTAAATATTTTAATTTTTGTCTATATTTATTTTATTGTATATACACATATACTTCAACTATTTTAGGCCCAAAACGTAATTCTATTACCCTCTAAAGTGTCTAATAATAATTTAGGGCCAAATAAAATTTAGATATTAC